ACTGTTAGCTCAATTCTGTCAGCAAGTTTAGAAATTAGGTGAAAGAGCATTCCCTATTTTTGGTCCTATTGTCATATGGTTGCTGTTGTTATGTGCACTCAAGTCATCCTTTACTCATAGTAACCCTATGTACAACAGTGCTGAAGTCTGCTCTGTCCTGAGCCAGTCTCACTGACTCCGACACACCTCCATTGCCCTGGTTACTGTGTCAATCCATCTAATCTAGGGTCTTCCTCTCCTGCACTGTCCTTCCAGCCTCCCAAACATGATGTCTTTCTCCAAGGACTGGCCTGTTCTTCCCAAAGTATGTGTGTGAGGCAGAGGTTCAAAATCCTAGCCTCCAAGGAGAAACTTGATTTCACCCTCTCCAAGGTAGACCTATTTATTCTCCTGGTGATCTAGATCTAAGAATATAGTTCAATCATAGTAATTGAACTTGGTGAAGATATTTCTTATAGTGCATTAGCCACCAACTTTCAAAATCTTTCTTGATGCCTTTCTACTAAACTCTTTTGCTTGTCATCATTCAAATCTCACATAATCTTGCTTCTACTTTTTCTGCTCATATTTTTTTTTCCTTACAGTGTTTCTAGCTTAATTTTGTTAGCATCCGGGATATGCGCCCAAAATTCTGAAGTCTAATTGGCCCTCTTAGCTTCCCACTATGTTCCTTAAATGCCTCCTGTTTATACATGTATTTAGAATTTACACCATTCTCCTTTCCTTAAGGAACCCTTTCTATATATTTAGTTCACATAAACTTACTTTTCTTCCTAACAACTAACTTTTGAAGTGAAAGCCTTTTCTTAAGTCAGGTGATACTTGAAAATAATGTTGACAATATGCAGGTTTTTAAAAAATTAATAGAGAAGCCTAGTTTATCTTTAAGTCCAGAAGTTAAATTTGTATCTTATATACTATAGGTTAATTGTGTGTTGAATCTTGAAGAGATAAATGGACCATTGTTTATGGAGACCTGGTGATTCATTGACTTTTCATCCTCTTTTTTTCTCCCTTTTTCAAGCTGGTCTTCTTTGGACTAAGTAACCAGATGGTGGTAGCTTTCAAGGAAGAGAACACTATAGCGTTCAAACACCTCTTCCTGAAAGGGTATACGGACCGGATAGATGACACATACGCGGTATACACACAAAGAGATGTGTACGATCAGATCATCTTTGCAGTGAATCAGGTAAATCAGAAGTGTGCATTTTCTACTTTGGGGAAAGAATATACAGAGAAAATGCACGGTTCCTAATTGCATATTAAAAAACAAACCAGAAGAAAATACATCAAACACATACATCGTTGCTGAATCTATTACTGACTGACAGTAACCCTCTATTCGGTTTTCAAGGCTCTAAATCCTAATGCGAGGATAGTGCCCGAGCTTCGGGTGGTTTCAGACTACTACACACGCTCACTCTTTTGTATGGCAGTGCCATTTACAACAGACCAGCCACCTTAAAGTCCAGGAATGCAACTTAAACTCATTGCTGCTCAGTCAGGAGAGGGAATTACCCAGCTTTTTGCTCTGAGTAGATTCGAACCACACAGCCTTTGTGTGGGCAGTGTAAATCCCATCAGCACTGACTCAGAGCTGACCCTCCAGCAGGTTTGTGGAGGCTGTCTCAGATGAGAAGAGAGTGTCTGGCTTTCTCCCGAAGAGCTGTGGGTCTATTTGAATTGCTGAGAGGCACTGCCTTTTGGACTAGCAGCCTATCTCCCTGTGGACTGGGCACCAGAACTCCCTAGTACTTATCACGGTGCATACAACTAGCAAGGTGCAGGATAGTAACTGACATTCAAATGACTTAGGTGTTAAATAATTTTCAAATTGTTTTCTTTTTAAAATATTGCCAACAAGTTTCTATCAAACTAGAAATTGAGCTAAGTTTGTGAGACAGACAGATGGAGCTTTGAAGGCTTAATTAAAGAGTATCAGAGCCAGGGTTTGTAATAAGAATGTCAAAGGTTTAAGAATCACTGACCATGACTCTGCTTGTAAGTGGTCATTAAGTTTCATTTAGGACTTTAACATGTCATGAGGGTATTTATTACCTTTGTAGTGTGTGTATAGCAACTAAGACCTGAAAATGGATTTTAAAATTCAATAAGGCCTTTATGTCATAGGTGACAATGGTTTTACTGTAGTTTGAACTTAAATACCTACAACAGGGAAGACTGGTATTTATGCAAAAGTCAAATTCTTATTTTAATTCTTTATTTAATTCTTATTCTAAGTTTTAATCAGTAACTTTTTGTTATAAACAGTGCTTTATCAAGATTCCAAACCTCCATCTTAAAGCATATTCACGTTCTCTAACGTTACTTTAGACCAAATTTTTGGGTGTTTTCTGTTTTAATTTTGTGATGGAGAAGTAGGGGTAAGTAGAGGTCCATTAAAGTTTTAGTGTCTTTACTTTTATTGTTTTGTGCCATCGAGTCGGAACCAACTCATAGCAGACTCTCCAGTGGATTTTCAGTTATGCACATCCTTCTGCAGAGCAGCTGGGAGATTTGAACTGTGTGCCTTTGGGATTGCAGTGCAGCTTTTTACCACTATGTCACTTAAGACCAGTCTTCTAAATCATGTAATGTTTGTGCTATTGTGACTGATACATTTCATTCAGTAAAATGTTTCTAAGCTATTTCTTTTGTAGTGTGTATCATGACCTCATTTTTCTTTATGGCCAAAATAGTCCATGCATGTACTTAGCACACTTTGTTTATGCATCTCTCTGTTGATAGACTTTTAGACTGTTTCCACCTGTTGGCTGTTGTGTATGGTGTTGAGCATTGATGCAACATTTTTGTTTGCACTTTTGCTTTAAGGTATTTTAAGAATATACGAACATCACTTTTTCTTTATCATATGTGGTTATGTATCTCTGAAAAATCAATGGTCTAGTTATTTGACCTTTCTCTTGACTTCTATTTTTTTCTAACAATTTTGAGGTCATCTTTACTTATTTCTTTACCTTAAATTTGGACAGTCTTCAAAGATTGGCCCTTCTCCTGAGGAAATTGCATCCTCACAGCCTCAAACTAATAGAGGAATGTTTGTAGAGGCTGGTGGAGAGTATTGAATATCCCGTGAGCTGCCAAAAGAACAAAACATATCTGTCCTGGAGGAAATGCAACCAGGGTGCTCCCTTGAGGCAAAGATGGTGAAACTTTGTCCCACATACTTTGGGCAGGTTGTCATGAGTGTCAGTCTTGGCAAAAGACATCATGCCGGGGAAAGCAGAGGGTCAGGAAAAGAGAGAAAGACCTTCAGTGAGGGGGATTGGTGGGCTTGAGTCTGATGGAGATTATGCGGGTGGTGCAGGATAGGGCTGAGTTCATATCTGTTGTTCATAAGGTGATGGTGAGTTATAATTGACTTGATGGAACTAAACAATAATAACAACACAGTCTCATTTGTCACGTGTGTGCAATGATTCCCAAACAGTGTTCCCCCTGCTGCCTACACACACCCCTCAAACTATTCTCCAGGTTCATGTGGTCTTCCACCTGTGCCTCAGACCTGTTCCTCTCTCTGCTCATACAGTTGGGTTGAGATACCTCAAAGTCATCTTTGAATTATTTGCTCTGGCAGCGCAGACACAGTCTATACATGCCAGCTTCTCATTGGCTTCCCTTCTTCCCTACCCACCTCTCCAGCCTCTTCTTGGTTGTTTTCTAAGTAAGCCACCTGCCTGAAGTCACAGCTCTGATTGCACAACGCTCCCCATGGCTCATACACATGGACACACAGTGTCCAGCATCTCAACACGTGATGCACTTACTTGGTGAAGGCAGAGACACATAATGGGCTTTCAAATGTTTGTTGATGGAGAATATTGTATGTAACATAGATGGCCAAAAGGGCAAAGAAATGTCCTGGAAGAAGTGAGCTAGAATGTTCCTTACAACAGAGATGTTGAAACTTCATCTCACATTCTTTGGCCATGTTGTTAGGAGATTCCAGCTCCTGGAAAAGGACATCATGCGGGGAAAAATTTGGGGTGAAAGGCAGAAGAAGACCCCCAACAAGAAGATGGACAGACCCAGTGACTATAACATGGGCTTGAGCATATTGGGGATCAGGAGGATGGTGCAGGACGGGGAAGGGTCATATCTATAGTCATGGGGTCACTATGAGTTGCAGTCAACTCGATCGTCCCTACCACTCGAGAAACATTGCCATGAGAGCAAATCATATTCTTGCAAAGACAGAAGTAATGTAAGAGGGTTTTATTGTTTGGTTTTGTTTTATTTAGATGATTCACTAGAGAAATGTTGCTATGAACGTCGCTAACCTGTATTCTTGCAAAGATTAAAATAATTTTGAAGGATTTTTTGAAAGAAAATTTTTATTTGATACCGCTTTACTTATAGCATTCATTTTCATTGTTTTTCACACCAGATCTTTCCCATTTCCTTTAGCCACCTCCCTCCAGCCATCAAGGTGTGTGCGACCCTATGATTTACCCCCTTGGCCATCCTCATCCCTCTGCTCCCACCCTTACTTGCCTCTTGGATCCTCATACATGTTTTACTAGTTATCTTTCTATTTCTACAATAATGGTCTTATACAGTATTTGTCCTTATGGGATTGAATTAAGTCACTGAAAGGATTTTGCTGGTTAGTGTGGAACAATTACATCCCACTTCATGTATTATACAGTAATTAAACTAAAGTGGAACTCTGGATAAAAGGCCGTACCAGGATTAGCTAAAAAGTAAGAATAATTTGTGCCCTTGCTGAAAGTAAAATTGAGTGATAGACAAGTTATTCATAAGTAATGAAGGACCTGAGAGATTATGTGGTTTAAGCCTTTAATTGTGAAGATATAGAACCTGAAGGTCAGAGTTTGTGGCTTACTCAGAGCCACAGAAATAAGACTTGATCTCAGAACTCTAATTTTCTTGTTCTGAGTTTTGCAGAGAGGGAACTTAGTATGATGGTAAGTCCAGGTGAGGCTTAATTAGGTTCCAGTCACAGATATGTCTTAGAGAAAGTGCAACCAGGGTGTTTCTTGGAGGGAAAGAAGGTGAAGCTTCCCCATACATATTTTGAGCATCAGGACGCATGCTTAGAAAGGTGAAGGAGAGTCAGCGAAAGAGAGGACACTTTCAATGAGATAGATTCAAATGGTGAATGTAATTATGGGCTCAAGTATATTAGACATGATGAGGATGGCATGGGATAGGGCAGGGCTCAGATCTGTGGTTCATAGAGTCAGTAAGTCATGGTTGTCTTGACAGCACCTAACAACAACTACTGAAAAATTGTTTTATCTTGGTACATGCTTCAGAACATGAGTTCCTGGGGGACATTGATAAGTCTCGACTACTAGCTAAAACTGTGACACTGACGTGCCAAACGTGGTAATGGTTACCCACGGTGGACAGTGTTTGTTGGAGCTTACCGACTAAAACAAGCCTGGAAGCAGGAGCGACATCCACTTCCGAAATGGTTTGCCTCCGGAAACTCTATGTACAAACAGTGCTCAGGCCTTTCATTCATAGGGTGGCTATGAGTCTTCTATGACTCGATGGCACCTAACAACAACAACAACAGCCAGCTAAAAGGTTGATGGACTGGAAGGTCTAGAGGCACGTTGTAAGACAGGACTGGTGATGTATTTCTGAAATGTCGCATCATTAGAAACCCAGTGGAACAGTTCTCTTTAGCCCAGATGGGGTCACGATGAGTTGAAATTGACACAATGGCAATTAACAATATGTTTTCACATATTGTAAAAATTTGCAAAAGCTGAAGTCTATGGACGGTAGAAAAATGCCAGAGAAAGAAAATTCAAATGCTTTCCACAAAGAAGGGGCAATACAGAGATTGTAACTTGTCAAAGGGCGAAACCTTGAAAGACCTGGGAAAAGAAAGGCTCTTTGTTTTTACGGTACTTGAACTGACACATGGTAAAGTATATCACCTGCTTGCACCTGAATGTGCTGTCATGGTGGCAGTCACTCTGTGCATACAGGCTTGGGTGTCTTCATGCACAGAGAGGTGAGAACTTACACACTTCAGAGGTGGGGAGGGAAGGGAAGGGAAAATCTGCCCCGGCTGGTGCTCCCATTTTCTGTTTCTCTTTTTGCTTGAAGTACTTGCAGCTACGCAACATCTCGGTTGGAAATCATGCTTATGAGAATAAGGGTTCCAAGCAATCTGTTATGGCAATCTGTCAGCACTTCTACAAGCAAGGGAACATCTATCCTGGAAATGATACATTTGACATAGACCCAGAAGTTGAAACTGGTAATGCTCTTCTAATAAGCTAGAACTTGATTTTTTTTTTAGCTTTCCTAATTATACTTAAAATGACTAATTTCATCTCTAAAAATATTTGATTTGTTATTAAGTATGCTGTTGTTGTTTTGTACCATTAAGGTGGAACTGACCCATAGCTGACCCTTCAGCAGGTTGTCAGAGGCAGTAAATCACACAGGAGGAGATTGCACCTCTGCTGTGGAGCAGTTGGCAGATTTGAACCTTATGCCTTTCTGTTGGCAGTGTAAGCCACCAGGGCTCCCGTAGAAGGTTACGTTCTTGTTGTTAGGTGTCACTGAGTCAATGACTCATAGTGACTCTATGAACAACGGATCTGAACGCTGTCCTGTCCTGTGCCTTCCTCACCCTCTCCGACACATTTGAGCCCATTGTTACGTCATTGTGTCAGTCTATCTTGTTGAGGGTCTTTTTCTCTTTCACTGACCCTCCACCTATCCAAGCTTGATGTCCTTTTCCAAGGACTGGCCCCTCATAACAACATGCCTAAAATATGTGAGATGAAGTTTTGTTAGGTTATAATTGAAAGGTGGACGATGAATAAGGATACTGATGCCTTTAAATTGTGATGTTGGAGAAGCAAGCTGAAGATCCCTGGACTGCCAAAACCCAAACAGATATGTATTGGGAAAAGCACAGCCAGAATGCTCCTTGGAAGCAAGGATGGTGAAGCTTCGTCTCACATACTTGGGGCATGTTGCTAGAAAAGGCTGCTTCTTGGAGAAGAACATCATGCTTGGAAAGGTGGGAGCATGGCGAAGGAACAGAAGACCCTCAACCATGTGGATTGACACAGTGACTGCAGCAATGGGATCGAGTATATCAGACATTCGGACAGGATAGGATGATTCTGATCTTTTGTTCATAGGATCGTCACCAGCAAATAACAGCAACAACATATTAAAGTTATATACCAGACACTGTGCTAAGTTTGTTAATATATGAATCCTCACAAAAACGCAACCAGGGAAGCATTCTTAGGCTTTGTTTTTCATGGAAAATGAAAGTGTGGCTTTGCATGTTACCTGATCTCTTTTAGTAAGCGGTAGCCCTGGAATTTGGTCCTGGCTATCTGGTTCCACAGCCTCCTCCTAGCCGCCGCATTCCACTGCCTCCCATACTGGGCAAGCCAATTAAATAGACGTTTGCTTGCAATTTCTTAATGGATATAAAACTCTTTTCCCCAAATAGTATTTAGCTCGTCAGGATTCTTACAGGTAAGTGAGGGAAGGAAATAAAGCCATAACTTAGGACAGCTTATTTTAAAGTGATTTCCCTTCAGCCATTTTTAGCAAAGTTCTAGTATTTAATTTTTACCATTAAACATTAGTTTTCGACATTAAGTTGAAAAAGAAAAACTGAGACACTTCTAAAGATAGGCATTGTTAAATATGTACCTTTTTTTGAAAGGGAAATTAAAGAATTAAAGTGAAAATCATTTATGGTACTGGCTTCCTTTCTTTTAAATGCTTTATAAAGGAGTCCTAGTGTCACAATGGATTAAGCGTTGGACTGTCAGCCAACAAACACAAAAGAAAGGAGGCTAATGATTGTTGTTGTTGTTATGTGCTTTTAAGTTGAACTTATTCATAGTGGATCCTTTAGTAGGTTTTCAGAGGCTGTAAATTGCATGGGGGGAGACTGCCCATCTTTCTCCCACAGAACAGCTGGTGAATTCGAACCATCTGCCTTTGAGCTGACAGCACAACTCCTTCCCCACTAGGCTACCAGAGCTCCTGTAAAGGATTACTTAGGCCTTATAAAACAGTAAGGGAAGACATATTCTATGGAACTCTAATGAAATAATATTCAGATCTTTTTCAACTCCAGTCTGGTTTAGAAATGTTACTCTCACGTCTTAAAAAAACCAGTCTCTGTAACTAAATGGTACTGATGTCTGACTTTCTAAACCATACTTCAGAAAAATACAGAACTTTAATAGTGTGACTTAAAGGGTGCTATCTTTTCCAGTGCTGTTTTATTTAGGTACTAAAGCATGTTTGTATGCCTCCACCCGCTCTTTCTACGGCAGAGTGTTTCTTCATAGAGCCAGATGAGTCTCTTCACAACAGAACACCAGAAGTCAATAAACTCAACTTAACCCTGGACTTCCACAGGTGAGGCTCACAGAGGTGAGTGTAACTTTGTGCGTGTCTTCTTCCCACGGTACTCAAGTCTCCTCTGTTTTCTAGACTCCTCACAGTGGAGCTTCAATTTAAACTGAAAGCCATTAATCTGCAGACAGTCCGTCATCATGAGCTTCCCGACTGTTACGACTTTACTCTGACTGTAAGTGTTGGGCTAAGCTGAATTTGTTCCCAGTCTTCGTAAAAACTGCTTTAGTTAATTAATTCTTAGGGAGCTCAGATGGTCTAGTTCATCAGGAGTTGCAGTCCTAACCCAAAGGTGGTGACTATCTGGCAGTTCGAATCCACTAGCTGCTATATGAGAGAAAGGGGAATAATCTTTTTCATGTGATTTACAGCTTCCAGGAACCCACTGGAGCAGTTCCAACCTGATGACACGACTTTGTGAGAATTCATATTTTTATTAACACATGATAAAGATTCTTCCACTGAATGTACTTAGGGAAAACATTGATAGAGCTAGTTTTATTTTATTTTAACAGCTTTTTGTTTTGTTCACTTATTATCTATCTTTTGCCTTCAGTGTAAGTTCTAAGAGGGCTGGGATCTTGTCTTGTTCTTTGCTGTGTCTACCTTACCAAGAACAATGCCTGGCACAGAGTCCATGCACACATACAGGAAAAAAAGTGGTTATTTATTGAATTTTTTACAGTCTATCTCTGCCTGTTGAGGACTGTTGCCAATATGCTTGTAACTAAGCCTTGGGCTTTGTTCATAGTGCCTTCCTGATTTCTCTCCTTCAATCTCAGCTGACCTTTTCAGATGATTCAGAGCCAATCATTTTATATTATAGTTGAAAATAGAGCTATTAATGCTCTCTAGAGAGCACAAGACGGCTCTGACGTGAGCTCAGCATCTCAGAGGATCGTAGTAACCCAATGCTGTTGGGTAAGAAGAGTATTTTATATATTCCTTCAATATTATCCAGATTTCTATTACTTTTCCCCTAGTATTTTGATTAAGAAATGGTGTCTGTGAAACTTAATCAGCTGTGCAAAATGAAGTTGTAGGAACTAAGGTTTAAAAATTTCAGAATAAGTATAATTATATTAAGTATAATAACTATGCACATATTTATTAGTAAAAAGCACTGACACTATTTAAGTATTTTAAATTTGGTTAAAATTTTTGACCCTAATATTGGTTATGAATTATCAGCATACCACATTTTAAAAAAACCTGAACTATCATCTATAATTACACATTATTACTTATTCTCTCTCAGTTTTCAAAAATGTTATTTTGAAACATTTTTATAATCTTCCAAATCTTATTGCCACTGCTATCTCCTCAGGAATCCTATTATGATTCTTCATTTAGAAATGCATTCCATATTCGTCAGAATTCCCAGTTCTTTTTTCTTTTCTACTTCTTTTATGGTGGATTTGCCACTTTCTCTCTCTCTTTTTTTTTACTTTTCTAGCTATTTATAATCCCAGTAGATTGGAAGCTCCTTAAAGGCACAATCTAGTTTATTCATCTTTATATCTCTCAAAGAGCATAGTAGGTGCCTAAAATATTTGTTGAATTAATAAATGAATTGCTGGTGAAATTGTGACCTTTTCAAGATGACTCAAAACAACCATATGCAATTGGTTTTGTTTCCAAAATTACTGTAGACTAATCTCTGCAGTGTGTATATAGCAATGGACCTCAGAGAATTGTCGAGTTTGTACCTTATAAGGTGGTTTAATAATAAAAGCCATTAGCACAACTTTAATGTAGAATGTTTTGGTTTTGTACTGTAGCATCAGAACCAACCCATAGCTGACCCTCCAGCAGGTTTTCAGAAGCAGTTAAATATCATGGGAGGAGAATGTCCATCCTTCTCCTGAAGAACAACTGGTGGCTTCAAACCGTATGCTTTCAGGATTGCAGTGCAACTTCTTGCCACTAGGCCACCAGAGCTCCCTTTGGTTTTGAGATCAGACAAATCTAAACCCAAGTCAGCTGACTAGTTAGTATTTATACAAACTTAGACAAATTAATAAATTGGCTTACACTTCAGTTTTTCTTCTATCTCATTAAATTTTCTCATATGGATGTTTTAGTTGCAGTTCTAAAGTCCAACCATTTCTCACATACTGGTATAGCTGAGTTATCAAAAAGTGAGATTATTATGTGAAATTGACATTATGTGGAAATGAAGGGTGACTACAATCAGATAAGAAATGGAACATGACCACATCATTTTGTAACATCTAGATTACATCATTCCATAACTACCAACCCTCAGAGAATCATTGCCAAGCTAAACTGACATAACCTCAACCAACCAACCAGAATTACTCTTACTTCACACCCTTGAGTTTGTTACAATCAATGCACGAAATGTCATCAATGCAGAAAATAACTAGATAGTAGACCTTTTTACTATTGCCATAAATGTGAAATATCAGATAACAAAATAATCAATGAATGAAGAGTAGATGTACTTAAATCCACAAAGTAATTATTACATTTAATTTGATCTTTCTACTACTTAGATGGTTGTTTGTTGATGTTTTTGTTATGTGTCATCAAGACCTGTGACTCATAGTGACCATATATATAACAGCTCTGAACCCTGGTCTATCCTGTGTCAATTTGATTGTCTCTGGCACACCTGCCCCGATTACTCCAGCCACTGAGTCAATCCATCTCATCAGGAGTCTTCCTCTCTTGTGCTTTCCCTCCACCTTCTCAAGCATGATGTTCCTCTCCAAGGACTGGTCCCCTTCCTTGCAACGGCCCAAAGTATGTCAGAGAAAGCTTCAGAATCCTTACCTCCAAGGAGCAGCCCTCTCTAGGATGAACCTGTTTGCTGTCATAGCAGTTCATGGTATATTTAATACTCTTTTCCAGCACCACGGCTCAAAGGCATCAATTCTCCTTCTGTCATCCTTAGATGGAAATAATGGTTAATTCTCATCTGATTGTTAATTCACACTAGTTGGTAGTGTTGGTTAATTCCCATTTGGGCTCAAAGATCTTAAGCAAGAATAGAAAATTCATGACCAAAAAACAGTTTTTTTCTTTTTTTTTTCTCAAACTGCTTATGCTCCATGGAGACAGGATTTTTACTGGTTTGTCACTCTCATATCCCCAACATCCAGAACAGTACCTATCACATATTGAGTGTTCAAACATTTTATGAACAAATGAGTTATACTAGCAGTGACATGAAGACTCGGAATTTTAGAGGCTATAAGGACTGTGGAATTTCAGATACTTTTAATTTGTGCTTTAAGTAGCTTATCATAAGAGTTTGTATAGTAACAAATTGGTACTTAACTATATTAGACATTTGAAAATGTCCATTACCCTCATTTGGATATGTAAATTTTAGATCTCTTTGCCTGGACCTCTGGTGGTGGAGTCCATAGGGAGTTAAACTAAAGGGCGTACCTCTCTGGCAGTTCAAATGCACCAGGGGCTCTGTAGGAGAAAGACAGGTAGTCTCCTGAGCAATTTACTATCTTGGAAACCTGCTGGAGACAGCTATGAGTCTAATTCATAGTAGTTTTACTGGACTTAGGACCTTTTGACAGAATTTACTTATTTGGTAATCCAGGACTATATATTTTGGAATAATTACTGTGTAACTGAATGTGCATTTGATATTCAGAAGTTTCTTAAAGCATACATTAATGTTAAAGACATAAGTATCCCGTTGTATAATAATCAGGTTTCCCTGCATGCTGAGTATGCTTTGGTCCAGAATGTAAGAGGGCAGGCAGGAAGGAAATGGACCGAATTTCTTGCCTTGCCTTCACTGGCCCTTTTAGAATGGTCTGCCGTGGTAGCCGGGCACTACCTAGTTCTTCTGGCCTCAAAGGATTCAGAATTGAAGTTTTTGCAGTTGGTTAATCCTTTGGACTAGTTGTGTGCATAGCAGAATCTTGGCTTAAAAATAAACACAATAGGTTTTGAAAAACAATGTGTATTTTATTCTTTACAGATAACATTTGACAACAAGGCTCATAGTGGAAGAATTAAAATAAGTTTAGATAATGACATTGCCATCAGAGAGTGTAAAGATTGGCACGTATCTGGATCAAGTAAGTGATAAATTTTACTTGCTTTCAGAATAGCTATGATATATTATAAAGTGGTTACTAAATTACTACTCATCAAGCGGCCTACTGGGTAAGGAGTTGCATTGGAAATTCAATAGCAGGCAGTTAAAATGCATCAACTGCTGCATGGGCTAAAGGAAAAGAATCTCTTCCCTTATGACTTAAAGCCTCTGAAAACTGATTGGATTGGAGGATCAGCTTTGAGTTTTTTCTGACACAACAGCAATACAAGTTTTGGAGGTCTTTATAAAAGACATGAGCTGCATCAAAGAACCATCCTCAAGTGCCTAATTCTTTTCAGTAATATAAAGGTTGTTTGTAATTGAGATCACTTTTTCTACCTGCGTGCCTTCACTTGCTTTCTCTTCACTAACAAAATGCTGACATTCCTTCTCTGTATAGTTACCTACTGCTGATATAATACATCCCAAATGGGTAGCTTTACAAAACAGACATTCATTTTCTCATAGTTTCAAAGGCTGAAAGTCCAACTGAGGGTCTTGGCCTTTTGATATGTTCTGTGAGTCTCTATCCTAGTATCTCATGTCTGCCAGTGATCCCTGTCATTCACCTGCCTGTACATAGTCCATCCTCAGTCCTCCTCTGAGTATATTTATGTGTCCATTCTGGTCTTAGCTATAATTTAGAAATTGTTGGGCTTAGTTTTCTCCTTACGCTGGCATTATCCCAATTGATTATACTATATGAGATTGCATTCTAGAAGGAGAAGTCACTACATTATGGAAGATCATAGACTTTACACAAGATCAGACAATTTTAATCACTTGTTAATACTTTGTGACGGTGAGAACTAGTCTCTACCAAGTTGATGGTCCTGGCAATGGTGCATAACCAGGAAGTGTTTCTTTCCACTGTGTATGGAGTTTCTTTAGTCTAGAACACATGAATGATAGATAGATAGATAGATAAATAGATAGTTATTAAGTGTTAAGTCAACTGTGCTTCATAGCCTCCTATGAACAACAGATCTGAACCTTTCCCTATTCTCTATATCCTCATCATCTCCAATACATTTGAGGCAGCCTCTGAAGCAGTCCTTAGTGTTGAAGGTCTTCCTTTCTTTCTCTGACCCTCTAACTTTCTCAACATGATATTTTTTCCCAAGGACTAGTCCCTCCTGACAATGCCCAAAGTATATGAGATGAATCGTCACCTTCCTTGTATCTCAGGAGCGCCCTAGTTGCAACCCTCCAAAACAGGCTTGTTTGATTTTTTGGCAGTTGATGGGATAATTAGTACTTTTCTCCAACACCACTATTCAAAGACATTGATTATTCTTCTGATTTCTGTATTCATTGCACACTTCTTCAGATATGTAGGAAGACCTTAGTCTTTAAACTAACATCCTTGCTCTTTAGCACTTTGGGAGAAGTCCTTGATAGCAGTTTTCCCAAGGCAACATGTCTTTTGGCATGTTGATTACTGCTACCGTGAGTGTTGACTATGGATCCAAGTAAATTTGAGTAATTGACAACTTTAGTCTTTTGCATCTATTATAACGCTGCAAAATGGCCCAGTGGTGAAGATTTCTGTTTTCTTTATTTTGAGATATAAGTCATATTGCAAGCTCTTCTGCAGCAAGTATTTCAAGTCTTCTCACTCTCAGCAAGCAAGGTTATGTCATCTGCATAATGAAGGTTATTGAGTATTTTCCCTCCAATCCTGATGCCACACACCTTTATCATAGAGTTCAGCTTTTCGGATATTTGCTCAGTACATCTATTGAACAGGTATGGAGGTAGAATACATCCCTGACACACTCCCTTCCCAATTCCAAAGCATGTAGTTCTTCCCTGCTCAATTTGCACAACAGCCTCCTGATCTAAATATTAAGTTCCTTATGAGCACAATCAAGTGCTCTGGGATTCCCATTCTTCTCAATGTCAGCTACAACTTGCCATGATTCACCCAGTCAAACGCCTTTGTATAGTCAATAAAGCACAAATAGACATTCTTCTGATATTCTTTACTTTCAGCCAGGATCCACCCAACAGCAGTGATATACCTGGTGCCATAGCCTCTTCTAAATTCTACTTGAACTTCTTGCAATTCCCTATCTATGTACTGTTCCAACCATTTTTGAATGATCTTCAGCAGTATTTTGTTACCATGTGATATCTATGATATTGTTCGATAATTTCCACATTCAGTTGGATCATCCTTCTTGGGGATAGAAACAAATATGGGCCGCTTCTAATCTGTTGGCCAGACAGCCATCCTTCAAATTCCCTGGCATAGTCTGATAAGTGCTTCCAAGTCTGCATCTGTTAACTGAAACAAGTCAATTGGTATCCCATTGATTTCTGGGGCCTTATTTTTTGCCAATGCCTTCAGAGCAGCTTCCACTTCCCCTTTTATTACCATTGGCTCCTGTTCATATGGTACTTCCTGAAATTTTTCAGTGTCAATTAATTCTTTCTTGTACAGTGACTCTGTGTATTCCCTCCATCTTCTTTTGATGTTTTCTGGGTCATTCAATATATTTCCTCATAGCATCTTTCAACATTGTGACACAAGGCTTAAATTTGTTTTTCAGTTCTTTCAGCTTGAGAAAAGCAGAGTGAGTTCTTCCCTTTTTATTCTTCAATTCCAGCTTTCTTTACATTCCATTATAATACTTTGCCTTATTCTCCCAAGCTGCCCTTTGAAACCGTCTGTTCAGCTCTTTCACTTCAACATATTTTTCTTTAGGTTTGGCTTCTCGGTGTTTCAGTGCAATCTTTAGAGTCTCTTCTGACATCCATTTTGGTTTTCCTTTCTCCTCTGTTTTGTAATGACCTTTTGCTTTCTTCATGGATGATATCCTAGATATCATCCCACTGGTCTTCTCTCACTGGTGTTCAATACCTCTATCCTAAAGATGATCATAAAATTCCGGTGGAATTGATTCAAGATAATATCTTGGTTCCTGTGGACTTAATTTTCTTCAGCCTCAGTTCTAACCTGCATATGATTAATTGATGATCTGACCCACAGTCTGCCCTGGCCTAGTTTTTTGTTTTTTTCTTTTTTTAGGCCTACAGCATCCGGTATTCCCAGGTGGTCTCCCATCCAAGTACTAACCAGGCCTGACTGCTTAGCTTCTGAGATCAGATGAGATTGGGCACATTCAGGGTGGTATGGCCATAGAATGGCCTAGTTTTCACTGTTGATATTGAGTTTCTCCAATGATTTCTTCCACAAATGTAGTCAATCTGATTCCTATGCAGCCCAATAGGTGAAATCCATGTGAAAAGCCATCTTTTTGTGTCTTTTAGAAAAGTATTTGCAATTAATAAATCATTGTAAACACAAAATTCAATCATTACATTTCCAGCCTCATTTCTATCATCAAGTCCTTATTTTCCAACTACTGTTTCTTCTCCACTGTTCCCTACTTTTTCATTCCAGTCACCAATTATCATTTATGCATCCTGATTATGTGTTCGGTCAATTTCAGACTGTAAAATTTGGTAAAATTCTCAATTTCTTCCTCTTTGGCACTAGATGTAGGAGCATATACTTGAATAAAAGTCATGTTAATAGGTCTTCCTTGTATGTGTATGGATATTATCTTATGAATCACAATATGTATTTCATGGTAGAACTTGAAATTGACTATTTGACTCTGAATGCACCACCATTCTTCTTCTATTTTTCATTCCCTGCATAGTAAATCATATTATTATCTGATTCAAAGTGGCCAATGCTGGTCTGTCGCATCTCACTAACACCTAATATATCGATATTAATGCATTCCATTTCATTTTTAACAATATTCTGTTTTCCACCATTCAAGCTATGAACATTCCATGTACCAATTGTTAAATGAAGTTTGTTATTCATTTTCCTCATTTCAATTGACTTCCCATCTGGACTCCACCACTACATGACTATAACTATTTTCTTCTTTGTTTACTGTTCATAGGGTTTTCAAAAGCCTTTTATTTAGGAAGTAGATGGCCCATCCTGCTTCCTAGTCTGTCTTAATCAGGGAACTCCAACAAAATCCATCCATGATGGGAAACCCTTTTGAAATTTGACACACCAGTGGCAAAGATTTCAGTATCACAGCAAATCCAAGTAATTGCAGTACAGCAAACTGACAGACAAGTGTTACACCACTTAGATCAATGTGCTCTCCTAACACAATCAATAGCAGGCCTGAGGGCCACAAGTCCTTGGGCCCAACCAACTTTTAAATACAAAAGCCTGCCCACCAGATCCTGTTTGCTCACACAGAGGCTTCCTACCCAAACTGATTGTAAATAAGATCAGATACAGTTATTTAGCTTACACTTGATTGATAACACAATTAGGAATGTCCAAACAATTTATCCTGGTTTTCAAGTAAATCACAAATACGTACCCACCAGGATCCAACTTCACCAAGCTAAAGGCTCAGAACAACTGCTTCTTAGCCTATTTAGAGGTTTCTCATGATAATAATGAAGTGTTCTATTTTTCTCTTCCTCTCAATGTTATCCATAATTTCTTTTGATCTACATGGTTGAATGTCTTTGCATCATCAATAAAACACAATTGAACATCTTTCTGATATTCTCTGTTCTTGGCCAAGATCCTTTTGACATCAGCAATGATATAATCTTGTTCCGTGGCCTCTTCTGAATCCATCTTGAATTTCTGGAAGTTCCCTGCCTATGTCCTGTTCTAGCCATTGTTGCATAATCTTTAACAAGATTTCGTGTGCATGTGATACTAATGATACTGTCCCATAATTTTTACATTTTTTAAAGTATTTTTTTTGGAATGGGCACAAACTAGGGTCCCTTCCAGTCAGTTTGTCAAGTAGCTCTTTCAAATTTCTTGGCATAGGCTGGTGAGCATGTCCCAGGTTGCATCTGCTCATTGAAACATATCAGCTAATTTCTGATCTTATTTTTAGCTAATTACTTCAGTGCAGCTTGAACTTTTCCCCTCATTCCATTGGGTCTTGATCATATGCTACTCCTGAGATGATC